TGGAGCATCTGAAATCATTGTGAGATTGATAGACTCCGAATGCTTAATCTAAACGACACTAACTAAATTTATTTATTTTTTTTGACAGAGTGGACAGTGAGAGCGAGAGACAGAGAGAAAGGTCTTCCTTTGCCGTTGGTTCACCCTCCAATGGCCGCCGCGGCCGGCACACCGCACTGATCCGATGGCAGGAGCCAGGTGCTTCTCCTGGTCTCCCATGGGGTGCAGGGCCCAAGCACTTGGGCCATCCTCCACTGCACTCCCTGGCTACAGCAGAGAGCTGGCCTGGAAGAGGAGCAACCGGGACTAGAACCCGGGGTGCCGGTGCCGCAAGGGGGAGGATTAGCTTATTGAGCCGCGGTGCTGGCCAAACTAAATTTTAAAAATGAATATTGACCCCCCAAGCTGGATGTGTCACAAACTGTATTCACAGAAGAGCAGCACAGGCTGGTGCCGTGGCTCACTTGGCTAATCCTCCACCTGTGGTGCCAGTACGCCGGGTTCTAGTCCTGGTTGGGGCACCGGATTCTGTCCCGGTTGCTCCTCTTCCAGTCCAGCTCTCTGCTGTGGCCCGGGAGGGCAGTGGAGGATGGCCCAGGTGCTTGGGCCCTGTACCCGCATGGGAGACCAGGAGGAAGCACCTGGCTCCTGGCTTTGGATCGGCACAGCGCTGGCTATGGCGGCCATTTGGGGGGTGAACCAATGGAAGGAAGATCTTTCTCTCTGTCTCTCTCTCACTGTCTAACTCTGCCTGTCAAAAAAAAAAAAAAGCAGCATATATGGGATGGATATATCTTTTTTAATAAGTCTTAGGAAGCTGAAAAACAGTCATGAAAAGTTGGCATTTTGGGGACTGGCGCTGTGGCGTAGCAGGTAAAGCCACCACCTGCAGTGCCGGCATCCCATATGGGCACCAGTTTGAGTCCCAGCTGCTCTACTTCCGATCCAGCTCTTTGCTATGGCCTGGGAAAGCAGTAGAAGATGGCCCAAGCCCTTGGGTCCCTGCACCTGCGTCGGGGATCTGGAAGAAGCTTCTGGCTTCGAAGCTGCCCAGCCCTGGCTGTTGTGGCCATTTGGGGAGTGAACCAGCAGATGGAAGACTTCTCTCTCTCTCTGCTGCCTCTCTGTAACTCTGCCTTTCAAATAAATAAATACATCTTTAAAAAAAATGTTGGCGTTTTGTTCTGTCAGTTTCTGATGGGATGTGAATTGCATTTCTAATTAGGTAAGTCTCATGTCTGATGATGTTGTGGCAAACACTGGAGGGAAATAGTCAGCCATAGTCCTACCAGCAGTAGGTAACCCTTGTTAAGATTTGAGGTATGTGTGTAATTATATGTACACTTATCTTACTTGGGAAGCAGAGAGAAACAAAAACCTGCACACAAAGTGAGCCCCTGTCCCCTGGTTCACTCCCCAAATGCCCACAAGCAGCTACAGCTGGCCTCTCAGTCCAGGTCTCACATGGGTGGCAGGAACCCAATTACTTGAGCTATGAGCATGGCCTCTCATGGTACACATTGGCAGGAAGCTGGAGTCGGGAGTGGGAGCCTTGACTGAAGTTTAAGTACTGAGTTATGGGCCATGGGTGTCCCAGTTGCTGGCTTAACCACCAGATTAAAAGCCTGTCCCATATATCTTTTTTTTTTTTAAGATTTATTTATTTATTTGAAAGTCAGAGTTACACAGAGAGAGGAGAGGCAGAGAGACACAGAGAGAGAGAGGTCTTCTATCAGCTAGTTCACTCCCCAGATGGCTACAACTGCTGGAGCTGCACCATCCGGATCCAGGAGCCAGGAGCTTCTTCTGGTCTCCCGTGTGAGTGCAGGGGCCCAAGGACCTGGGCCATCTTCTACTGCTTTCCAGGCCACAGCAGAGAGCTGGATCGGAAGTGGAGCAGCCAAGACTTGAACTGGTACCCTTATGGGATGCTGGCACTGCTGGGTGGTGGCTTTACCCACTATGCCACAGCACCATCCCCCCATATATCTTTTATTATAACAGGGATATATGTTCACCATACAAAGCTTAGAAGCACTACATAAATAGTAGGATATAAAAATCTCAATTTGAGAACTAATCCAATAAATAGTTGTATATAATAATAAGTTAAAAAATCATTCCTCTGGTTTTGAACATTTAGGATGTTAGAATAATAGTTCAAGCAAATAAATGTTACTTTGGTTCTATAAAACATATCTCTTAGCCATTAAACATGAAGGAAAAAGTAAATATTTTCTATCTTGATTTCTCATAATCAGAGCATTTCAAGCACTTTAATTTGCAGGGTTTAAGGGACTGGTCCTTGCCAAAGATCCCTGCGATTGGTAGGAGAGGGGAGTGAGCAGCGGCTGGGCTGTGAGGCCGAGGACGCAGGAGGGAAACGCAGCACACACAGAACGCTTGTTTGTGCCAAGAGTCTGCGAATGGCAGATGAGAAGTAAGAGTGGCTCGGGGCAGGATCAGATTATGGGCACGAGGTTCCAAGCAAAGTTACTGAGATGATAAGCAGAGGTTTATAGAAGTTTTTAGTGAGCGAGGAGGGAGCTAGTGGAGAGAAGAATGCATGCAGTTATGAGGCGATCCTAGCATCTTTATTTCAAGCTTATTTTAAAGACATAATTCTCGGGGCCAGCACTGTGGCACAGCGGGTTAACACCTTGGCCTGAAGCGTCGGCATCCCATATGGGCACTGGGTTCTAGTCCTGGCTGCTCCACTTTGATCCAGCTCTCTGCTATGGTGTGGGATAGCAGTGGAAGATGGCCCAAGTCCTTGGGCCACTGCACCCGCGTGAGAGACCTGGAAGAAGCTCCTGGCTTCCGATCAGCGCAGCTCCAGCCATTGCAGCCATCTGGGGAGTGAACCAGCGGGTGGAAGACTCTCTCTCTCTCTCTCTCTGTCTCTGCCTCACTCTGTAACTCTGTCTTTCAAGTAAATAAATAAATCTTAAAAAAAAAAAAAAAGATGTAGTTCTTTTAGAGTCCTCTGACCCCGCTGGATCCCAGGCCACTTGTCCTCAGCAGGTGTTCGTCCAGCGAGCGGGTAGCAAGCAACTCCTGCTGTGAGTGCTGGGAAGCGACCGTACACGCTCCACAGCCGAGTACGGCCTGGCTGCTTCCTGGCCTAGGGAGCAGGTACGCTGCTCGTGGGTCAGCTCCCTTTTCTGCGGCTCACCAGTCACCTTGCTGGGTCTGTCCTAAGGCACTGTGTGCGTCCATTTTTTTTTTTTTTTAAACAAAGAGTATGGTTTTGGCATGATCTGGCTCCCGAGTTTGAATTTGAATTTTTGTCATTCTCAAGTTAATTATTTATTTGATTTTGAGCAAATCATTGAAATTAAGTCTTCTGTGTAATTGAGCATAATACCCCTCCCTACCAAAGCTGTTGTGAGAATTAAGTGGTTACTGATTGCACAGAATGCAGCTCACTGTGTGGTAACCCTTGTAAATGGTAAAACCCTTGGTAAGTGTTAGCTGTGATGAGGATGATGATGGTGATGATGTTCCCTCCGGCTCCTGACTCTCCTATCTGTCTCGTCTGTCTCATTGTCATGGCACGGCAAAACAAGAACAAAAACAAAACCAAAAGCCAGAGGGGTTGCGCCGAGGTGACGTCAGGAAGAAAACGTTAGTCGATTTGCAGTAGATGAGCCCTTAATAGTGGAAGTGGAAGTCCCACAATATTTGTGTGTGTGTTGGAATGACGGCCTTCCTAGTGATCACGACTTTTGGAGAAAGAGCTTGGTTTCATGGAGAAAACATTGGACTGTGTCATTAGTGTTGAATTTTAATTTCTGTTCATTCACTCACTTACTGTTAATGAAGAGTGCAGAACAGTGCCTGGTACACAGAGAGCGCTCACTAAGTGCAGGCTGTTTACTGTTCATTCTCTTCTCCATCTAACGCGTATTTGGTGAGAGCCGACTGCTGCCAGTGTCCATGCTGGTCATGGTGGGTGCAGGGTGAGCCAGAGCAGTGGGCCTTTCCCACAGTGATGAGGTGACAAGGGGACGAGGAGGGTCCCGTGGGGGGGAGACGTGCTCCTCTTGATCTGTTCCCTCAGTGCATCTCTGTCTCATTGTCTTCATCAATGAAATAAAAATAAAACTCAGCTTTAAATTTCAGGATAGTGTTTTCCTGTGACATACAAGAGCACTTCTAGAAGTTTGTGGAAAATGGACTTAACAGATAAGTTTATGGAGGCCGGCACTGTGGCGTAGCAGATAGAGCCACTGCCTGCAGTGCCCGCCTCCCCTGTGAGCAAAGATTTGAGTTTCGGCTGCTCCACTTTTGATCCAGCTCCCTGCTAATGCACCTGAGAAAGCAGCAGAGGGTGCCCAAGTGCTTGGACCCCTGCACCCACATGGGAGAAGAAGCTCCCGGCTTCTGGCTTCAGATCAGCTCATCTTTGGCCATTGTGGTCATTTGGAGTGAACCAGCGGATGGAAGATCTCTCTGTCTCTCTTTGCCTCTTCCTCTGCCTCTAACTCTGCCTTTGAAATAAAATATCTTTTAAAAAAAGATGCTTATTTTTGCAGGAAAATATTTGAAATCTATGCATATGAGAAGTCTTCAAAAAGTTTATGGAAAATGTGTATTATATAAAACCTATGCATGAATTTTGAAATCTTTTGCACTAAAATAAACACACTGTTTAACCTTCTGAAGTTTGCCCATACTTTCTTGTCTATATGCTGATGATTTCTTTATTCAGCATGTACCCAGCAATGCCTACTGTGCGTTGCAGCGTGCTGTGTGCTGGGGATAGGGTGGTAAGCACAGCAGACCTGCCGGCCGGCAGCTGGAGGTCCCGCCCAGGAGGCGCGTGCACTGGCTAATCAGGATGCGCTCAGTGTTGTGAGAGCAGAGCAGTAGGTGTGTGTGGGTGTGCGGAGCAGAAACTGACGGGGTGTGTTTTCGATGGAGGGGTGTGGAGAAACCTTCGTGCAGCCTCCTCTTCCCCCACCCTGAGCTCACGTTTTCGTGGTCTGCGTCCACAGGCGCCGTTGGGCATCACGGAGACAACTTGGTGGAGAAGATCCTCGCGGCGCTGCCCCAGCTCCCCGGCCACACAAACGACGTGGCGGTTGACATGGTGGAGCTCACGGCCCTGCACGCGGGGGGCGACTGTCAGGACGTGGTCGCGCCAGGCTGCCTCGCTCAGGCCAAGTAAGCTCCTGGGTGTTTCCTCGTCTGCTTCCTCCTTCCTTTTCTCCTGGACAGAGTATTCCTGCAGAAGGGAGACGGTGCGCAGCCGGTCGTGGCGAACAGCACTTAGTAAAGGGCGCTTTTCCGGAACTTGGACGTAACCACATCCATCCAGCCCAACCGTAGGTCAGAAAGCGTGGGGTTGTGGGGGAGTGTAGTTTGGATGTAGTCAGCCTGTTCCCAGGATCAGGTAAGCGAGTCGGGTTATACATCTGCATTTCCCGGATGGTTTCACGTGGAATGAGTGGAGGCCCCACCATTTCTGTCTCCCCGTTGGCTTGTCCCCTGGCTGTGAAGCAGTGCCATCCCTTCCCAGGTAAACGCCATGCTCTGGGGCAGGGGGGAGAAGTTGTGATTTTTTGTTTTTTTCCCATGCCTGGAGACATCAGAGAAAGAGGATGGTGTGCGTGAAGTCTTGCACGGTTTCAGACGTGACAGAACATTCAGTGGAGCGCGTGACGGCCACCTTCTGCCTGGGTCCCCCTTGGGCAGCGCTCTCGTGGGGATCGAGCTCGCTCCCCCACCAGAGAAAGGGTTGGAAGGGGAAGCAGTGTCTAGATTTGACTCTTGTCTTTGTTGCTGGTTTAAACACAGCCGAATCTCTGGCATTGCAGCAGCGGCACGTGACAGCAACAGAAATGTTTGGAGTTTCCTGTGGTGTTCTGAATTAATTTGCACTTCCTGCAGTTTTCAGCTTTCTGTGGATGTTAATGACATTCATCGGATGCCTAGGGTGGCTGGGCCAGTGTGGGAAGAAAATATAAGTTCTAGACTTTGCCTTTCTGTCTGCTTATGCACGCAATAAAAGCAGAGGCCCAAAGACTTGCAGCTCCATGGAGGCAAAAGTACTCCTTACTGTCCGTACCTGTAGCTGTCCTGCGGCCAGTGCCAAGTTAATTATTAAGGACCTACCGAGAGCCTTGCTCTAGGCTCAGACTTAGAGCATTTGACACTGTTCTTGTTGAAGAGTCATGATGTGCTGCATGTTAGAAATGACACGAAATCGAGACTGATGTGGCTGCTCCCACAAGTACACTGTGAGGTTCACGTGGCTTCTGTAGACCAAGGTGGGCCTCGTGGAAGTGGTGGAGCTGGACTTGACTTCGCCTTGATGGATTTGGAGACGTGGAGAGGGCTGGCACGAATGGTGGTACAGACACGAGAGTGGGCAGGGCCTGATGAACCGGGTTGTGAAGAAGAGAGGCAGCTTCATGGCGGTGCTCCTGCCGCCAACTCTGTGAGCCTCTCCCGGACACGCTGTGTGCTAGACACGCTCCCAGGCACCTCACGCTGGAGAAGTCATTTTATGTTTACAGGGACCCAGTGCGGTAGGTGTTGTTATTCCCATTTTACAGCTAAGGAAACTGAGGCAGAGAGACATCGAGGAGCTCAGCAGGAGGAGTAGGAGCTGGAGCTGGACGTGAACCCGGCATGCTTGGCTCCAGGCAAGCCCCCCAAGCAGTGCCAGGGACGAGCGAGGTGTGGAATGGGCAGAAGTCAAGCAGCTTCATGACTGTACGTGGGGTCTTGCTTGTTTACTGTGATGGTTATGCAGACAGCAGAGATCCATCTGGGTGAATTTTAGTGAAAGAGAAACTTGCTGAGGGATATCGAGTCGCTCCCAGAAGAAGAGGATGCGTTGATAACCGGGTTTTGGATGGAGCAAAACAGGTCTAGGGCTGCAAGGAGCAGGGGCTTGGGAAAGGCCTCGTGGAGACCCTGGTATCAGAGGGATGGAATTCTCACCATTCTTTGTCTTTGAATCATTCTGCTTAAGATTAGAGTCCGGGGAAATGCTAAGATTGGGCTCTCTTGGCCAGTGTTTTGCTCAATGGGACTTTGGAGCTGTTCATACTAAAGTTAGGCTGCCAAGGGGTGGGCGCTGTATAGCAGGTAAAGCTGCTGCCTGTGACGCCGGCATCCCATTTGGGCACTGGTTGGAGTCCCAGCTGCTCCTCTTCTGATCCAGCTCTCTGCTAAAGGCCTGGGAAAGCAGTGGAGGATGGCCCAAGTGCTTATGCCCTTGTACCCACGTCTGGCACAGCCCTAGCCCTTGCAGTCATTTGGGTAGGGAGCCAGTGGAAATCTGTCTCTCCCTCTCTTTCTAACCGTGCCTTTCAAATAAATAAAATACATCTTAATAAAAATCATCTATTCTTTAAAAAAAAAATGAAACCAGGCTGCCAAGACCAAATGGCCTGAAGGAGGGGGAGTTCTTCCAGGAAAAATGGGAGGGACGTTGCACTGGAGAAACAGCAGAGACTGGAAACCCTTATCAGAATTAGGTGGGCGGGGGAGGGGGCGTTAGACTGGAGAAACAGCAGAGGCTGGGCTGCAGTGGCAGGTGCACTGGGTTAAGCCATCGGCTGCAGTGCCAGCATCCCATATTGGAGCGCTGACTTGAATCCCAGCTGCTCCACTTCTAGTCTGCCTTCCTGCTAATGTGCCTGGGTAAGCAACTGATGATGACCCAAGTAACTGGACCCCTGCACCCACGTGGGAGACCTCAATGGAGTTCCAGGTTCCTAGCTTTGGCTTGGATCAGCCCTGGCTTTTGGTGGTCATCTGGCGAGTGAACCACTGGGTGGAAGATTCTGTCACTCCCTCTCTGTCACTCTACCTTTCAAATGAATAATAAATAAATAAATCTATCTTAAAATTCCATCAGATGTCCTTAATAGTAGCAGATACTCACAGAGGAGTTACTGTGTAGCAGGCACTGTCTTGGGCACTCAATATATATATGTTTATTTTTTTTAAAGATTTACTTATTTATTTGAAAAGCAGAAATACAGGGCAGGGGGAAGAGAGAGAGAGAGAGAGAGAGAGAGAGAGAGAGAGAAAGACAGAAAGACAGAAAGAAAGAAAGGTCTTATCTGTTGGTTCACTCCACAAAGGCTATAATGACCAGGCTGGGCCAGGCAGAAGCCAGGAGCCAGGAGCTTCATCTGGGTCACCCACATGGGTACAAGGGCCCAAGCACTTGTGTTGTCTTCTACTGCTTTCCCGGGAGCATTAGCAGGGAGCTGGATTGGAAGTGGAGCTGCCGGAACTTGACCTGGTGCCCATATGGGATGGCCCCTACACCACAGCCCTGACCCCCATATTCACCTATTTCATTTGCACAACTCTGTGCAGTAGATTCTGTGAACATCTCCTTTGATGAGTGAGGAAGGGAGTTAACTAATATGCCCGAGGAGGCAGGTGCAGCGAGTGTGGGTGGGGCTGTCACTGGCCACTGCAGGCCCTTTGCTCGGTCCAGAGGAGCCTCAGGGATCACGAGAAGGTCACCTGAGTTCTCTGGGGGAGTTTGCGTAAAGAGTTGAGTTCCTCCCCAGAGACCTGGAAAAGAAGCAGTTTTAGAAGCATAGTTAAGACAAATGGAAGAACAAATTTTGAAATACAACACATGGTTTTTCACAATATGCATTTCCATGAACTTTTTGATGACTTCATACACGTGAAGGTCAAAATTTCTTTCTGCCAAAATAAACTTATCTTTTAATTCAATTTTTCATGAACCTTTTGAAATACTTTTGTATTTCCTTAGGGTTTAAGCCAAATTCAGGGTCTGTTTTCTATCACATGCAACCAAAGCCACACTAAAGGATTTTCTATATTCTGTCATCTATAAAATGAAGGCACTGGGGCCGGCACTGTGGCGTAGCGGGTAAAGCCGCTGCCTGTAGTGCCCGCATTTCATATGGATGCTGGTTCGAGTCCTGGCTGCTCTACTTCCGATCCGGCTCTCTGCTGTGGCCTGGGAAAGCAGTGGAAGATGGCCCAAGTCCTTGGGCCCCTGCACCCACATGGGAGACACAGAGAAGTTCTTGGCTCCCAGCTTTGGAAATTTGCAGCCATCTGGGGAGTGAGCCAGCAGATGGAAGACCTCTCTCTCTCTCTCTGCCTCTACCTTTCAAATAAATCTTTAAAAATAAAATAAAATAAAATAAAGGCATTTGTTGCCGTTGATTTCTCAACAGTGTTGCAGTGGATTCGTTTCTGAGAGGAGCAGCGTGGTGGGGGCAAGAGGCGCGGAGTCACCACACAGACCCCGGGAGTCAGGTGAAAGCAGGCTCGAGGCGAGCAGCCCGCAGACTCATTTATTACCATTGGAACCACATCTTATATAGCCAAGACCAGCCAATCTGGTCAAGGGGCGGTCTGTGCCCCAACCAATCCCAGCCTGTTGCCAGGCAGGCTCCGTTGCCAGGTGGGTTTCAAAGCCATTCCTGAGTAACTTCACTTGCTTGCCAGTGGCCACCTTGGCATGGCCTTCTCATTCCACCACAGGCCTTGTCCTGAATTACTTCTAAGACTCTCCCTGGGTTTAAAGTTTTTATTTTTTAATTTATTTACTTGAAAGTCAGAGTGACAGAGAGAGAAAGAGAGTTTTTTCATCTACTGGTTCATCCCCAGATGCCTGCAATAAATGTAGCTGTGGGCCAGGCCTAAATGAGAAGCCAGGAACTCCAGCTGGGTCTCATGTGGATGGCAGGGGCCCAAGTACTTGAGAGATCGTCTGCTGTCTCCCTGGGTGCACATTAGCAAGAAAACTGAATTGGAAGCAGAGTCACCAGGACTAGAACCAGGCACTCTGATATGGGATGAGGACTTCCCAGGCACTGGCTTAACCTGCTGTACCACAACACCTGCCCCTCTCTCTGGGTTTTATGTATATGTTTACACACACACACACACACACACGTATACACACATATACACACATTTATACACACATACACACATGTATACACACATATACACACACACGTATACACACATATACACACATATACACACAATACAAATATACACACATATACACACATGTATACACACACACAACACACATACGATTTACTTACTTGAAAGGCAGAGTTACAGAGTGAGATGAGACAGAGGGAGAGAGAGAGATTTTCATCTGCTGATTCACTCCCCGAATGGCCACGATGGCCAGG